GTACTTTTAAAAACTTCAAAAAAAATTGGTATTTAAGTGTTTTGATTAATCGGTTACTAACACTGTTACTAATGTTGTACTAACACTAAAAAGGTCTGACTGGCGAGGTGGCATTTCTTCTTCTGGTTTTGGGTGATATTTTCGCACCCGGGCCCTTGCGTGTTACTGTTTTTTGCAACGTATTAGGGCCCTATTTATCTTTCCCCCTCCCCGGGCCCCTTAGAGCGAGTCAGACCCTGCTAACTTATGTGTGATTCAGAGAATTTTTAGATTGAGACTACTTAAAAAAAATACGAAAACAATTAAAATAATAATTTTAGTAAAATATTTAAAAAATTTTAACAGAGTTTAAATATTTTTTAAAGTTAAAAAATTAAAGAGTTTAAATTTAAAAGTTAAAAATTTAAATTTAAATAAATAAATAAAATTTAAATAAATAAATAAAATTTAAATAAATAAATAAAAATTTAAATTTAAATTTAAAAGTTAAAAAAAAGTTAAAAATTTAAAGAGTTAAAAATTTAAACTCCAATATTTAAACTCTTTTGTCTATATTGTCTGTAAAAATAAAATAAAAAAATATACTTAAACTTTATTTTTACAGACAAAAGAGTTTAAATAAATTTATTTACCATAAATATATTTATAGCAAACTTTAAAAACCGTTGATGTGTTTTTTGCAATTTTAAAAATGATGCTTATGCAGTTTTTTTTTTTTTGCATATATATTTTATGATAGAAAATGTTGTTTTATTATACAAATTAGCTACAACATTTAATAAATTGATGTATTTTTAATACCTTACAATAAATAAAATAACAATTTTTACTAAAAATATCAAATTAATTGTCTTATACATATACTCTACTTTTTTTCCGAAAATAATCACGAGTGATCAACAGTTCCAAATTTGCGAATATTGCATATAAAAATGTTCTGATCATGCATATAATTTGCAAAATAAAAACATTTTAGCAAAATTTTTTTTTGCAAAAATATTTTTATTTTGACGGATCTTTTTTTTATTTAATTTATTTCTCAAACCATGGCTGTAAACTTCCAGTTATTTTATATCAATTAATATAATATTAATGAGGCTTTTAGAGTAAAAAGGAAAATATATTAAAAAAATACATTTCTTCCCATAAAAATGTTGAGAAAAAACTACTTTTTAGATAGAGAAGTAATTTTTTTGAATGTAATTTTTATTAGTTTCTGTATGTTTCTGTATAATGGGCTGAAACATACAGAAACTAATAAAAATTACATTCAAAAAAAATTGGCTGAAATTTAAGTCTTCTTAGTTAAATTCGATATGAGTTTTGATGCCGCCCAATAACATTTTTATCCTTTCAAATGTCTTAATTTGTGATTTTATTCCCTTTCTTTTATTAAAAATGACCTTCATTTTAATCAAATTGTATAAATTAATTATAAAATGATTTGCTGTGATTTACCATTTATAAATATGTACCAAAAAAAAACATATTTTAAGTTGATACATAATTTTTTATTCTTTTCTTATAATAATACTTTTAAATAAAGATAAAGATTTAAAATTTTTGTTAAAATTGAAATTTAGTCCAACGTTTTCAAATTATTACAGAAGGATACAAAAGTTAACAGAAATCACATTTAAGTAAGATATTACTTAAATTTGATTTCTGTTAACTTTTGTACCCTGAAAGTTGAACATTATTATTCTATAAAACTTATTATAAAGAACAGCTAACACATCTGAATTTCTGAACAACAACTCTTTACCAGCTCTTCAAGGTGACTTTTTCAAGGAATTTGAATGCTCAAAAAACTACTTACCATGAGTAACTGTAAAAAGTGTCATGCTCTGCATATTGAGAAAAACAATCCGAAGCACTAATACTTCATACCTAATTCGAATAATGACAATTTAATAACTTTCGAAAAGTCTATATGTGAAAAAAAAAAAGATATTTGTTTTTCGGCCAATCTAGGTCGCAATTAGCTCTGCGTTTAAGGCGAATCGAGCACTTGGTATGATAAAACGTACCTTTAGTTATGCAAATAAATAGATGTTTAGTCAAAGTCATATGAAAAAATATTTAACAAAATTTTTAACTCGGCGTAACTTTATAAAAATTTGTAAAATCATTAATAAAAAAGATAGTGTAAATCTAACTTTACATGAATACGATTTATTAGAACAAATAAATATACAAAAAAAAAAAAAAATCAAATTTAGACACGTGGACACAACTTTAGATACCGAGCTGAATTTACTAATAGTGCTTCTAGACAGAATTATCACCTGAATTACAAATTTATCTCCAGAATTACAAAATTATTTCCTGAAATGAATTACCGGTAGAAGTAGTTTATTCTTATAACTTAAATTGGTTGAAAAACAAAAGTAAAAAAATACCTTCTATTTGAAGGTATTTTTTTACATTTATTTTTAAACCTATTTCAGTTAAAAGAATAAACGCACTGAAACATTTTTATAGTTTTTTTGAACTTCTTTTGAAGTTCAAAAAGAACTATAAAAAAATAATTTATTTTTGCAAACAGATGTTTCAGTGCGTCAATCACACTTGCTGTATTTAAGAACAAACATTAGTGTGTTTATTCTTAGGGGCTGTCCATAAATGATGTCAGTAATTTTTTCCTAATTTTTGACCTCCCACCTCTCCCCCCTTTTTCAAACTCTGTCAATTTTTGGACGACCTCCCCTTTTATATGATATTAGTTTTTATGATAACAAGTTTGATAGTATCTCTCAAAGTTCGAAAATTATGACCATATAAAGTTACAAGTTTTATACGGTTATATTTTTAAAACGCTGAGAGATAATACTATGAATGAATATAAGTCTAACTGAGATTATTAAAAAAATTTTTATACCAACTTGTTGTCCCACACGTATGGGTGGGGGGGGGGGGGTATGGGGAGGATTTTATGCACAGCCCCATTATTTGACATAAGTAGAAACATACTAATGTTTGGAGTTTGCTTTATGTCTGGAAGTTATATCTGATAAATCCTGGTGTAATTTTTTAAATTAATTAAAAATAAATTTGACATAAGTAGAAACATACTAATGTTTGGAGTTTGCTCCATGTCTGAAAGTTATATCTGATAAATCCTGGTGTAATTTTTTAAATTAATTACTTCTTTTAATTTTAATTCTTTCATTTAATACTAATATTGCTTATTTGTATTTGTTTTATTTTGGACTATATGGATAGTCAAGAAAAAAACGTTTTTCAGATATCGCACAATCATAGTATTTAACTTTAATTTTTTAAGTTTATTATTTAATTTTTAAATGCTATATTTCAGACAACAACCTTAACATATTTTTAACAAAATCTTCAAATAGACGCTGCAGATTGCAAAAAACGCTTCGTTGGTTTTTAAAACATATCTGCTGTCTTCTATATATATCACCAAGACTTGATTACGTTAAATTTCTAATATAAAATAAGTAGATAATGATTTATGGATAAATTTTATTATATAAAACTAGACAATATAAAGGTAGGGGGTTAAAGCCACTACTTTTGTATTGTCTTTTTTTTTTTTTTTTATCTTGTTTTATAACTTATTGCAGAGCCACTGACTTTATCATAAAGCTACTTTCATATTATCTTTTTTTATTTTTGCAGTGTTAATATATACAAACTGTATGTAAATAACAAGATATATATGTAGCAGGGGAGAGAAGAAGAATAATATGTCTTATCGCCAAGCCCCTTGATAAATTCCGTAAATATAAAGTTTCATTTAAAAATAAAAATAGGCACTTCCGTTGACAATATAAAATAAACAAACGTAAAATTGGTAAAGTTATTTAAAATATAACACATAAAATAGTACTTATTAGTAAAAATTTAGTTACTTATTAGTAAAAAAATTTCGTACTTATTAGTAAAAATTAGTTCTTAGCTGTATTTTATGTGTTATATTTAAAATAAATAAATTATCAAGTACTAGAAAAAATGCCATTGAAACAGTTGGTAAAGTAATAAAGAAATCATATTATTAAAAAATAACAAGAAGCGCTATTCACTTGAACATATTCTTTTAAAAAAATTTATTATTTTTTGAAAAATCATCAATTTATTTTTTAATAATTATTTTAATTTTTATTATTATTATTATTATTTTTTGGATATTAAACTACAGTTTACAAAACCAAAGTCTAAGAATCAAAAAATAAATAGAACAACAACACATATTAAACAACAAAAACATAAATAAATTTGAAAAGTAAAAAAAGCATTTAACTTAAGCTTTTCTAAAATTAATATACTTTTTATTTAACTGATAAATTAATCATAAGGATATTTTGCATTTTTAGAAATAGTTTTGAGGAAAATTATTTTTTAAGTAATAACTGTCTAAGTTTAGCTTTAAACTCTTTAATCTAAATCTTAGTTTATGCCTTCTTAGTACAATTTTTTAATGATTAAATACTCTCAAATCAGTGGGCACAGGACCTAAAAATGACGTTTTTAAACGTCTAAAAGACGTCCAAAACATCCAAAAGACGTTTAAATATTTTCTTTTTACGTCTCGTGCCTAATGAGAAGGAATCTCACTTTTCTCAAATAAAGGTAGGTGTAAATTAAAAAAAAACTTCCTTTATTTAGCTATTTATGATTTTCCACAACTGCATCCAACTTTACTATAATTTTGCAACAAGCTTTTCTATAATTTTATTTTTTTGTTAAAAACTAAGATTATGTTTTATGGTAAGGAAAGATTATTCTCGTTTTTTCAGAATTGTTTTCTTTAAATAAAGGGATCGTCCATAACTTACGCAATGCATATTATAAAAATATAAGTAGGAGAATATTTTGCTTTTTTGAGAGGCGGCTTTCGCTGGACTTAAAGGGTTTTTTATACATGGTTTAATTAAAGACGGGAAAACCTTTAACACTTTTTCTTTTGTTTATTAGTTAAATTTCGCGTTACGTAATTTATGAACGATCCAAAGGTTAAAAAATTCCTTTGACTAAAAGCGTATTTGAAGCGATTTATATTCCCTGTAGTTAGAGTTTTTTACATACGCACCCAAACATCCGCAAGTTACTTGAAATTGCAGTTATTTAAAAAAAAATTATGTTTCCATTGACGAAAAGCCTGTCAGGTATTCAAATTCGGTCAAAAATGTTCTGGCTTGCGTTGTTTAAAACCGGAGAAAACTAAAAAAAAAACCAAACAGTTAATGTTTTCTCCAAAAAGTTCTTTTCAATTGAAAAATCAGTTTGTTTAATATATTTATTATCTTACAAATACTAGTTAACTGTTAAAAAGAACTTGACTTCTGTTTTATTATCTTGCAAGTTCTTATTAATGATAATTAATAATATAATTATTAATAATTGTAATTTGATAAATAATAATATTTGTAAGATATTACAAATACTAGTTAACTGTTAACAAGAACTGTTAACAAGAATTTGTCACGCTTTTGGGGAAAAGAGTTGGTAAATAATAATTTAATAACTTACTATAAACTCGATATATTTGTAAACACTGCATTGTAAAAGATGTAAGCAGTGAAGTTAAAATTACTTTTTCTTTTTTGAAACGAATTTCTGTGATGATAACAGAAATTAGTATAATTAGCGGCTATCATCATTTAATTTTTTCTTTGTTAAAATATTTTATTATTATCACGCTTTATAAATCCATGGCGAAAAACTTCTGTGCTAAAATTTAATAAAAATTAAATAAAAATTTAATTTTTCATAAAGCAAAATATGTTAGCCAGAAATTCGTAACGCTTGTGTTTGAAAAAAATGCATAGAAACATTTAGTTTTTGACTATGTTTAAACGTACTATTTTTGTGTAAAATAAGGATGCTCAAATTACCCAGTGTTTTTATTGACTTACCCAGTTTAGAGTCCTAAAATTGCAGTAGCTTTAATTACTTTTTGAATAAAGGCAAAACATAGTAAAAATTCTAATATTTTAACAAAACTAATAATATCTTTCTGCTAATTATTTTTTTAAATTGTGTATTTTTAAAAAATAATTATAATATTGTTTTTAGATTTGACTTAATAAAATTGAATAACAAACTGTTTTGTTGTTGTTGTTGTTGTTGCGTAAAACAATTAGGGGAAAAGGTTGCATAAGTTGGGCATGTTAATATTGCATTGTTTTTTTTTACAGTCGAAATATTATATTTATATTTGTTTTTGCATGTTATAATAATTTAGTCTTTCCTTCTAATAAATAATTTCATATTAAAAAAAAAAAATCAAGTAAAGTTATCCTTAAAAGCTATAATAAAGAGGATAGAGTTTTTTATTTTAGCCAACTTGTTTTATTTCTAGAATAAAACTTAGAAAATTAAATTTAATAATTTAATTAACAACTACCAAAATATAACAGGTTAAACTTGTGAGACTATTTAAAATAAGATTAGAAACTTGTGTCGAGTACTTACAGTACTCATAAACCCATAAGGTTTTATGAGTAAGCATCATTTATAAGCATCATTTAAAAAGTAAATAAAAAGTATAAAACTCAAAGAAAACACAAATTTTTACTTGAAAGAAAAACAAGTTATTAATTAAAACCCAAATAATGCATCCGATGGTTCAAACCACATTTTAGAATTCCAGATAATATATTGTTTTAAATGTCATTCTTATGCCTCAATATATTGTTTTAAATGTCATTCTTATGCCTCAATAAAAAATAGCTTATGACAAAGCTATTTTTTATTGAGGCATATCATATAATATGTATCATAATTTTATCTCTAAGTGTTATATTTAAATAAGCTTCTTAAACATTGTCTGTAAATTTTAGAATAAATAATTTTTTGAATTGTCTATGACACAACAGAGTACTGTTCTACAGTTTAAAGGCCCCTACTAATGCTATATTAGGTTACCCCATACTTACTTATACAAAACAATCGCTTCAACTTATTTTTTTATTAGTTTAATTAAATGAAGTTAGATCCTATGGATTATAGTTTATCATATGAAGTTAAGTGCCGATTGACGCATTAAATAACATGTATTAAAAATTAGAAACTTTAAAAAGTAATAAATTACATTGCCATTAAATCATAAAAACCAAGTTCTATCCATTGCAGGCTTAATGATATCAAACAATACAACTTTTTAGTCAAACATAGCCCCAGTAGTAACTGTTGTACCATATGAAAGTGGTTGTCACCACTCTTTAGATGGCTTTACAATTACATTGCATCATGGTGCCTCATGTTTCACGATGCCTCACTCACCCTATAAATCTTTGGATGTTTTGTAAAAAATTTTATTTAATTTTTTATAAAATAAACTTGTAAATGGAGAAAAAAGCCATCACAGAAACTTTTTTAATGGTAAATTTCGATTTTATTTTTAATTACTTTTTCTTTTAACTTTTATTGATTTATTTTTATATTTTGGCTTCCTATATTTGTTATTTTTTGTAAAAAGGATTTTAAAATCTAATGGGATAAGTGATAAAGTTTTTAAAAAAATATATATGAGTATAGAATAATATTGAATAAATATAAGTATTGAATACGGTAACAGTCAAGTTATAAAAAGCAGACCTAACATACTCAAAGAATAAAGTTTTAAATAATTTTTAAAACAAATGGATTTTGGTAAAATTTTTATATAGAAACATTACATAGAACCTAAAAAGCAAAGTTAACTTCTGAGATAAGTATGAAGTATTATGTTATCTCTGACTTTTAAAACCATGACGCAACATTTTTTTTTTTTTTTTGAGAACCATTTAAATGCAGAGCTATCTAAAAAAAGGAGACGTTTTGCGTTTTATTTTGATTAACAAACTTCTATACCTTTTGTTATTTATTTCATGTTATGACTCTGGTTTAATTTTTTAACTTTATGAAAATTACTTAATAATTAAAGAATTAAAAAAACTCATGTTGAAATACGTAAAATTCATATTTTTTAAAACAACTTTTTATAGTCTTTTTTAACACTAGCAGTAAGCAACCCGTAATACGGGTTGCTTACTGCTAGTGTTCAAGAAGAAAAGCCTTACTTTAAAATAGAAAAGCCTAGAAAAGGACGTAATTTGACTATTAATATTAGTAAATTAGCGTATCAATATTATCAGATTCACAAAACAGCTAAGTTATAAATTTTTTTATTTGTGTAATAATTTAAATATGCAAATAGATATGTATTAGGAGCCATCCATAAAGGACGTCACCATTTTTTTAGCCAATTTTTGACCCCCTCCCCCCCTTTGTCACCGGTTGTCCTTTTTCCCTATACCCCCTTGAAAAGGACGTCATAAAATCCTGAATACCCCCCCCCCTCTATTTTTAACTCCAAAAAAATTTATCTTATCTCGCAATGATGTTTGAATCTGCTGCTACACCTTTGAAAAATAAAATTAAAAATATTCTCATACATTATCTTGTTAAAAACACATGTTTACGTAGTTTTCCATGTTAATTAAACTAAAATAAAAAATCTATAAAGTGACGTCCTTTACTGACAACCTTCACCCTCCCCTTGTCCTTTTTTGTCATTTTTAACTCGACCTCTTCCCCCCCCCCCCCCTATTTGGATGACGCCTTTTATGGATGGCCCCTTAATTATTTTGTCCATATTTAATATACTTTATTAATCTGATATTCGAGTGTCATTAAATAATATTTCTAGAACTTTACTTTTATTATGCAATATAAATTTTACTAATTTGTTTCCTTTATCTAGTTTAGATTATAGCGTTTTATTTGTGAATTAGTACTTCTTTTCTGTGTAAAGTGCAAATTAAAATACTTTATCTTATTCAAAACATCTCATATTCAATTAGTATCAGTATAAATATATTTATTTTTTTTACAAAAACATTTGCGGAAATCTTAAACTCACCAAAAAGTTTATTAAATGATTCAATAAATTTCTTATATATAAGAACTTATTAATCATCTAAAAGAATTTTTTTGTTTGTTTCAAGAAAAATCATTATGTTTATGAAGCAGATACAAAAGAAAAACAGTGCAAAATAAAGAAGTACCGGAACCAGTTTGCAGATGCTGAGTTCCCGATTCCGGTTACCCAGCACCGGGTCAATATTAAAATGTTGGAATAAAATCTTGTAAAATTTCTAGCGCTAAATTGCTTTTTAAAAAAAAACCTGGTTATTTACTCTAAATATATCAAGTTTCGTTTTAAAAAACAATTATATTTACACTTGAGGTCACATTCAAATTACGCAAACTAATAAGTAAACCCGAAGTTCGTAAAACTTATTACTACTGCAAATACACTTTATATTTGGTTCTTTGTAATCAACGCTACTATGCGAGAATGATTCCGTTTAACAATGAAAAATAATAAAAATTATAATCAGTCGGCTTTTTTACTACTCATACTTTAGCTGGTCCTGACAGTACGGCTTAAATTTACTGTCAATATAACTTATGATAAACTTGTACATATAAATATTTAAAAAACTATATCATTAGATCATGTCACATGTAATAATATGCTTTTCTTTTAAAATAGATCTCAAAAAGGTATAAAGTTTTTTAATACCGTTATAAACTTATGCAATGTTATTCATAAAATGGTTAACTAATATTATTTCTATCTCTGAGATATAAAACTGACAAATAAAATTTTTGTTGTAGTTACAAAAATAAAATTTAAAAAAAGCTAGTAAACAATATTTTAAAAATAAATACCCATTAAAACAATGCATTAACATATTTATTAAAACTTACTAAACAACTTAGCAACGCAGTGTTATTTCATTCATAAAATAAGAATATTTAGATTATTTTCATTTACACTATTGAGCAATAAATTTGTTCTCAGTTTAAAAAATAAAAGGATAAAAAAAGTATTAAAGATTTTTCCAAGTTTTTAAAATTTCTAAATTTTCAAAAATTGTCAAAAACAGAAAACTCTCTGTTACTCTACTGCATTAAAAAAAACGTTTATTTAAATAAATGATTTTTAGTTTTCTTATTTTCTCAGTTTATTTAAAGAAATTATTTTTAGTTTTCTTACTTGGCTTGGTTTTTACTCTATGAGCTCTGTAGCCTATGCAGCACATTTTTTTGAAAATATTAAAGTGTAGTCTCAAAGCGTAAGAATTTGGTTAACTTATAAAATTTGCATTCACTTACAAAAAAAAAATTATTAATACCAAGCCCTCAAAAAAAAAAGAAAAAATTGCGCCAACTGGGTACCACCACTGGGTAAGTTGGCGCAAACTATAAAAATGATTATTAATGTACTATTAAGTGCAAAATTAATAAAAAGTTTTTTAATATTAACTAGTAAACCAATTGTGACTGGAACTTTTACAATATATTTTTTTTCATTTGACTGATAATTTTTTTTTGTAAAGTAAAAAGGAACCAATGTTCCATAAGTTACGTTTTTGTCCGAGAAACACAAAATCTCAACATCTCCCATGCGCATGCATGAATCCTGACAATACTACAGTGAATGATAAAATGGTCAATTAGGAAAGTTCTGTGTAATTTTTTCGCTTTATGATAAAAGGCTCTTACCC